CTTTCCACACTCAGCAATGTGGGTGTCAGTGGAAGAATGAAGGAAGAATGAGGTGAAAAGGGGAAAAACAGACTAGCCACAAATACTATAAAATATCAGTAGTTAATTCAGGGTGATGGAAACAGAGGCATTCTCTTACATTTATAGTTCTCTTTGTATTTTAAATTTATCAAAAAAGGAAGAAAAACATAATAAATATGCTTGGATATCAGAGTTAAATAGCTCACCCTAAATTTTGGCTGCAATACTTACTGGTTGTATGACCTTGGGGAAGTTATTTAACTTCATAAAATTTTCTTTTTCAGCTATAAATCAAGCATCACAATACCTCTCATGAAGGGGCTGCTCTCTCCTCCAACAATGGAGGCTCAAGCACTTGCAAGCTCCAGTCCTAGGAAAATTCACCATAATCTTAACAGTGGAGCCTCAGGTTACCCTCGACATGGCAAGAAGGAAAAACTAAATTTTTACTAGATACTAGAGCTACCTACTGTCCTGACCCATCCCATAGGCCTCTCTCCAATGCTATCTACATAGTAACAGGAATAAATAGTCAGCCTAATGTAATTTACTTTTCCCATTGTGAGACCAGGACTAGCAATGAAGTTCTCTGCCACACATCAGGACCAAGGTCCAGTGTGGAAAGCACCCTGTCTATAAAATTGGGACCTCGCCAAAACGGGGGGCGGCGGCGGGGTGGGTAGTGCAACCCCCTTGCCCTCCACACAAAGCTCATTTGTGGGGAACCTAAAACTAAACCATAGTAGACAACCCGCCTCTATGTCAGGGTTTCCTACTAGCAGAGCAACTACCTCTCTGTAATCTGTTGAAAGCCAGCCCTCAAGGCAAATAGAAAGGGCCCCATCAAGCTTCATTAAGCTCCCCAATTGCTATCAAATTACAAGGAATCAACAGCTGTGTACATTTATCTCAAATTAAACCAGTTTCTTATGAGCCCTCACAGGTTCCTCCAGAAAATAAACTGGAAAGTGCAGCCTATTCCTGTGAACCCATGCAAGATCTTAAACTCTTGCTCCGGAAACTAGATAAGTCCACATGTGGAATCAAGGAACTTTTGTGTACCTCGAATTAATAAACTGCCATGAAAAAGTAACTTCATTGTCAACTACCTCTACTATTAATTTTGACTAAGTTTATATCTTCTAGGTTGCAAGGCTTCCTAACACTTCTACATGCTGGAATGACCTCACGTTGTCTGCCTCCAGGTCCCTTAGGCTTTCAGAGATTTTTATTCCCAGTAGGCAGGGACTACAGCCCTATCTCAGCTTTGAAGAAGTTACAGAAGACAGATCTTCCTCCCTCAACATCCCCTTAAGATTAAGGGAATAAAATCTCTGAAGGGAAATCATGTAGGGAGGAGGCAGGAAAATTGGGGTGTTAGTCGGGCCACATCTGGAGACTACAATGTGCTGATCTGCCCTGTGGCCAGGCCAGGAAGACATCTGCAGAACAAAGGAAGGTTGGCTGAAGGAATAGCTCACTCCCTGAATATCACTTCCAGCTATATATGTAGGGGGTACTCTGATAGGGGATTAGCAGCCGTGGGAAGCTGCAGAATTAGTTCCCATCAAGACAATGCCAAATATAATGGCCCCACACAACTCTGATGATAGTCAATAGATTTTAAAACATACTATTCTAGGACAATACTGCCTGGCTGGAGGTAAAGGAAATCTCATAGAGTCGGTCGAAAACTTAATTTGCCTTAGCCCATGGTATTATAATGCCACCTCCAAATAAAGCGTGTACTAGGGAAACAGGACAGAGAGAAATCCGCTGGCCAGATTCCCAGAGCTAACTAAAGCCTAGCAGGACCCAGACAGGGTCCAAGACTAAATAACCCCACGTGAGCCTTACTAGATTTATAGAAACAAGGCCTATATCACCTCCCCAGAAATTAGGAAGGTAACTGTATAATTGACATGATAAAGCCATTCTTCTTTCTCTTACTTCTGAAAACAGGAGAACTGCTTAGTTACCTGGTCCCACAACCCTTACCACGGGTAAAAAGAGACCTCCAAATAGGGGACAAGAAGGATAATGAGTGGCCCCTAGAGTGGATAATCCAATACTATAGGCCTGCCACTTGGGCAGAAGATAAATCTTGGGGACACCATACCCCATTTACATGTTAAACCGGATTACTGACTGCAGACAGTCTTAGAAATCATTACCAATGAGACTGGGAGAGCCCTGACCCTCCTTGCACATCAACAGACTCAGATGAGAAACGCCATCTACCAAAACAGGTGGCACTAGACTATCTATTAGCAGCAAAAGAAGGCGTGTGTGGAAAATTCAATCTTACCAATTGCTGCCTACAGACAGATGACCAGGGCCAGGCAGTTGAGGACCTTGTCAAAAAGATGACAAAACTGGCACATGTGTCCATGCAAGGATGGCACAGATGGAACCCCGGATAGCCTTTTTGGGGGATGGTTTTCAGCCTTTGGTAGGTTTAAAACCTTATTAGGTGCAGTTATACTACTCCCAGGAATTTGCCTGAGAGAGCCATGTCTGCTGCCCCTGCTAATGAAAAACTTAAAAGGCATGGTGGAAGCCACCATACAGCAGCAAGTTACAGCCCACATATACTTTACCCGCAACTATCAGGAGATCCCCCAGGCTAGTTTAGATGGAGAATGTGAGACTCCAGCATAAAAATCGAATGTCTGGAGTCTCAAAGGGGAGAATGAGAGAGGAGAGGAGGCATCTGAAAAAAATGCAAAGGAAAGGGCCTGCGGAAATAACCGACTCAGCCGGTTAAAACTGCTCTCGCCTCCCATGTTGCCCAGTGCTCTTCGCCTAACATGTTTTCCCATCGCTACCTCCCCCACCTCAAGGATTCTCCAGCTCACATCGATGCGTTTCCAACCAACTAATGTTCTTTCTTATCTCTGTAGCTGTGTAGCAATAACAAGACTGTGTAAAACTGCTCGTTATGTTACAATTAGAGCTCAGCCTTTGGATAGAATCCATTGAGCAGGTCCTGTCTCTGTTTAAGAATCCTATAATGGTGCTGATAACGCCAAGGTCGCAGGTTCTACAAAACAAACGACCTGTAAGACCAGTGGTCTGGAAATTCCTCCTCCCTGCAGCCACCACCACCCGAAGCTCCTCCTCCCTGCAGCCAGCATCACCCGAAGCTCCCTCTCCCCATCCTGAGTAAGGAGGCACACGTGAAACCTCAGACAAAGGAATTACATGCCCCTTGCATGGACACTGCAAGAGTATATAAACTGTAATAAATCCAACTAGAGTGAGCTCGTGCATGGAGTTGTTAACCCCACACGCTCCGTCAGTCTAATAAATTCTCCTTCCTCTCACAAAGTTGTCTGAGCATCCAAATTCTTCTGTTGGTTGTCACTTCCTGCAACAATGGCATCCAGCGACGGCCACCCCGCTGCCCAGTCCAACCGCAGACTGCACCTACGTCTTATCCACAGGTGATTTAGCCCTAAAAGGATCCGTGGACCAAAAAAAAAGTAAATGGGGAAGTATTCAAAGAAACTTAAACCATTATTTTTTATAGAGAGCTTCCCGGAAATTTACTATTAATGTACATTCTCTCAGAAGAGGATATGTTATGCAATGTTTCTCAGATTTATCTGAACACAGAACCTATTTCATTTTCGGAGTCTCTGGCAGGACCAGAATTCCATACTTTGAGAAATCCTGTCCTATAATATCTTTGCATTCACTGAACTGAGAAACTAGTTTCTGTTTTTTTGTAACTAAAAATTTGAGATTAGTTTGGAGTGAAAAATTTTTTTTGAACAGATTGGTTCAGTTACTGTGGCAAAATTTTCATTGTTATTCACTAATGCTGAACATATACATATGCTATGATATAGCAACTCTGCTGCTAGGTAGAACATTCAACGATATGTACATTAAGGACACCAAAAAAGTTCAAGGAACTTCATAATAGCATACTATTCATGACAGCTCCAACCTAGAAACAACCCACAATAGAAGAGATAAATTTATATAATGGCACATTATACAAAATGAAAATAAACAAACTACAACCTCACATGACATCATGAAGCATCTCTTAGAAAAGAAGAGACATTATGATTCGATTTACAAAGAGTTGAAAAGCAGGCAAAAGTAATCTATGGTGATGGAACTGAGGTTACACTGGTAACCTCTGGGCAGAGGGAGGAAATATAACTGGGACAAGCTGGAGGGGACTTCCTTGGGTGCTGGCCATGTTCTATTTCTTAACCTAAATGGTGGCTACAGGAATGTTTACTCCAAAAATTCATCTTCTACCTTGTGCACTTTTTTTGTTTGTTATACTTCAATGGAAGCATAAAAAAGCTTGGCAATCCCATCAGTTAGTTTGCATATCTGGTTACTGTGTGCAATCAGTGTTGGCAGTTCAGCTGTCTACACAACATGCCAGCCCTGGGTGTCTCAGTCATGATGAAAGCATCAACAGGGGCTGCCAGGCACTAACTCATGTAGTCTTCAAGAGACCCCACAAATTAAGGCACTTTAAAACATTTACTGTTTGCATTTAATAGACAAGAAAACTAAGGCTTGGGGATAACCAGTAACTTGTCCAAAGTTGCAGGCTTGGAGGCGGTGAAGACAAAATCAAACAGGACTCCAAAACTCACGTGCTTGGCCACTACCTTCCTATTCAGGGGAGTGTGCTGCATGTCTCCTGACCAGAGCTATTCTGAGTGGGTTTTAATTTTCTGCAATCAGTGAACCTTGACCGAAACAGTAAAAGCAGCATCACCATCTTTAAATAAAAGACTCAGTTTACCACTCTCAAAACCTGAAATGTGAAGTATTAATAACAGTAGTAGCTAATAAATTATCATTCGTGCAGATTATTTTGCATCAAAAACATGCTGAGCACTAGAAATACGTGGGGGTGGGGCATACAGAGGAATCGGTTCCAATGCAAGGATTCCAGAGAAACAGAACAGAGTTACTGCAACGATACGATTATTTAAGCCAAAATAACCTGAAATTCTTTCCTGGGTTGAAAAAATGTTGGTTATTTTCTGCAAAGGGAAAGCAATTTAATTATTTAAAAGAATAATTATTTATATTTATTTTTAATAACATTTATTTTAAAAAATATAAATTTTTTTCTAATTGTAAATGTATATGTTCATTAGGGAAAATTTTGTGAATGCGAAAAAAAGCACAAAGACAATAAAAGCTTAAAGATAACAATGTTAACATTTTTAATGAAGATCTATCAACTCTGTCTCTATAGGAATACACGAGCCTTTATCTCATCTGCGGCCACTGCCTCCTCCCGTCCCTATTTCAGACACAATGGCTTCCTTTCTGATCCCTGAATATGTCAAACTCTTCCTGCTTTTGGGGTATCTGCACTTTCTTTCCCTCTAACTCAAGCTGCTTCTTGAAAAGCCTGGCTTTCTCCTGCCGCAGGTCTCAGTGAATTGCCGTTTAGGAGAGTTCTTCCCTGTGCTCCCAGCTCCAGTGGCTGCCCCAGCCCTTCCGTCACATCCTTCATTATTCTCTCCTCAGCATCTAACACTACCTGGGGTTTTCTCTCTCTCTCTCTCTTTTTTTGTCTACTTGTTTACTGTCTGTTCCCTTCACAGGAATGTTAGGTTCATGAGGGAAAAGACCTTGCCACTTTGTTCACTGTCATATCCCCGGGTGCCTAGCACACAGTAGGTGCTTGCTAGATATCTGAATACTGTGCGAATGGTCTGGTGATATGCTTTTATCCACTTAAAGTATTGAGAAAACATTCCCAAGAATAAATTGAACCCCAAAGTAAACTCCCTAAATTCTGTTAGCAGATGCTTATTTTACTTTCGGTATCTTCTAACACAAAGTCTTATTCTTATAGGCTAAACTGTTTCTGCCTATGTGCATCTTAAAAGGTACAGACAGAAAAAAAACAAATTTCAATGAAAAGCAAGCATGCTAGATTCAGAGTCATCCAAGTTACACATGCTATTAATGACTAAACTACTGTCGATTGTGCAACATTCTGACTTTTCTTCTACAAAAAACAAAAAACAAAAAACCAATATTGCAAAGGGAGTGGAAACCGTAAGTGCCTAAAAAGGTCCTGTGTGTCCTGAGTTTAAGAACAAATCATAATTACATGCATCAATCATGTCCTATTCCTAATAAAGGGTGGGACTGCATTTCAATATATATTCTTGAGGAAATTTTCCCTAGTAGTACCCTCTCAAGCTGAATTCATTAATTCATAGCAAAGCAATATAAAACTCTCGCCTTCTGACCCCCTCTGACTGTATCAGAAA